CCCCTCCAGCACCGGCCTGGAGGACATCAGCCCAATGCCTTTGCCAGCCCCCGACGAGGACACTGAGCTCAACCTGAGCCTTGGGCGTCGGCTTAGCCCCATTCCCTCTGCATCTTAGCTAGTCATGCTAAATGCTTCAAGGGGGAAAGGGAGATACAAGATGGACAAAACCAGTCCCAGACAGATGGACAGACATGGTGGTACCTCATCCATCTTCTCAGGTCAGGGTTCTGTCTCCTACCAGGTCCAAGGCCACCTCAGCTGTCTGGCCCAGAAGCCCAGCAGGGTCCGGGGGGCCGGGCTCGGGTGGAAGCCGACGCCCAAGGCTCAGGTTGAGCTCATTGTCCTCGTCAGAGTCTGGCAAAGGCATTGGGCTGATGTCCTCCAGGCCGGTGCTGGAGGGGCGCGAGGAGGAGGGCGTGGGGCCGCGGAAGCTGGGCTGGGGAGTTGGTGCCGAAGGGGGCCAGCGGGGAGAGCTGGGAGGAGGAGGAGATGGGGCTGCCCTCCGTCTGCAGCTCAGTGTCCGAGTCGGGCACCGGCAGGAAGAGCAGCTTTGCGCGCTGCTCCTTCAGCAGCATCTCGATGGGTGAGTCCAGGCTGTCATGCGGCTTCTCCGGTCCCAAAGGGGACGACTCCAGCGTGGGCGCGCTGGGACTGTCGAAGGGCTCGGGACTCCAGCCGAAGGTGGGCCAGCTGCCTAGCTCCATGCTGTTGGTGTCGGGAGGAGGTGGGCCGGGGGGGCGTGCCTGGCTTCTCCTTGGCCAGTGGCTCAGCAGGTGGCAGGGGTGGGGGTGCCGGTGCCCTCCCGAACTCCCCTCCGTCACGGGCCCCGAAGGCGGTTGTGGTGGTCGGCTCTTCTGGGGGTGGAGGGAAGTGGGCCACTGGGGTCTGATACCGAGAGAAAGGAGACTTGAATCCAGGAGCTGGAGTTGCTTGATCAGGCGGTGGAGTGTGGGCAAATGTGGCCGAATCCTGTGGTTGGGCCTTGAAGCGGGGGCCGCTGCTGCCCCCAGTGCCGCTGACTGCTCCAAATAGGAGGTCTGAGGAACCCCGGAAGGCAGCTGTGGCCCCGGCCACTGCAGTGACCGCGGGAGAAGTGTGGACATAATGATGTTCGTGGCGGCGGTTGTAGGCATCCGTGAACTTGCTCTCGTGGCGCCGGGCCTTGAAGCTCAGTGTAGGGTCCTGGCTGAGGAGGCATGAGGGTGTGGGCTGGCGTCTGGAGTAGCTGGAGTCCTGTGAGAAGGGGGAGCCCAGGCGCGGCGTGAGCGGGGTGCTCTGTCCGTGGAAGTTGGGTGTGTCCAGGCGGCAGCTGGAGTAAGCCGTGTCCTGGGAAAAGGGTGTCCCACCGCTATTGGGGGTGACAGAGGAGGAGCCAGAGCCACAGCCTGCAGACAGGCCTCCATCCTTCAGGCGCTTCAGGGCATCTGACAGCTGCAGGGTCTCATTCACGATTGGAGAGACAGCATCCAGCTCGCCCACTGGGAGGGTCCGAGGGGTGTAACGGCCAGTGACCAACAGTTCATAGAGCCGCATTCGGGTTTCGCCTGTGGTGTCCAGCTCCACGTGGATAATGTTGCCCATGACAGAAGTGCTGTGCAAGTGCTGAACGGCCTCCTTGGCACCCCGGACGATGGCAAAGACCACCTTGGCAATGCCGAGGTGCTTCTTGGTCTTGGGGTTGTACAAAATCTCCACCTCCTCCACCTCCCCATACTTCTTGCACATATCCCTTAGGAAGTTTTCTCGGATGTTATCATTCAGCTTGGCAAATGTCACCTGCTTCGGAGGCACCGGCCCCACATAGAACTCATTGATTTTGAATTTGGGCACCGACAGCTCCAGCTCCTTGTTTTTGGTCCAGATCCCAACGACCCGGGGACCTTCAACAATTTCCACTGGGCGGTTGCTGGACATCGCCAGGCTGAAATGCTGCCCGTCGTAGCGGTACAGTTTATGATGCCCCTTTTTGAGAGTCGCGTCAATCATCAACTTGTAACTTCTCCAATGGTGGTTCCTCCTCTCGCCCGAAGGGCCGGGCTGCGTAGGGGGGCTGCTGGTGGTGGTGGGGGCGGGGGTGACTGTTCTCCATGCTGTTAACCCAACATCCCTGCCGGGCGCCGGTCTCCCTGCGCCTCCAGCCAGCACATGGTGTCCCCCGCAGGAGCCGAGGCCCGGGCGGCCGGACCGGGGACTGGGAGTGGAGGGCACCGCCACCGCCGCCGTGGCTGCCTGGCCGGGAGCTGTCGCCGCCGCCACCACCACTGCTGCCGCCCGGAGGCGGCTGGGGGCGGAGGCTCGGCTCCCAGTAGCCCCACATCCCACAATACACCGCTAAGGATATGCCATTTCTTTATAGAGCATGTTGTATATGTTCCTTGTCTCCCTGATGGGGACACTACTCTGGGTAATGGATAAGACATGATGGAGTGGTTTGAGGAGGGAAATACATATGAGTTTAAAGGAATTTGAATTATTTGGCGTGAATACGATAAATCTGGGACTGTCTTAAAAAACGTTTTTTGTATTTTTTTCATTTTGTTAACTTATACTCAGAGAAATGTTGCAAGACCAAGAAGAGTACAAAGAATATCTAAATACTCTTTATCCAGGTTTACTTGTTGTTAATATTTTGTGCCATTTTCTTATTGTTTGTTCTCTTTCATATATCTGTATATATTAATGTGTGTGTGTGTGTGTGTGTGTGTGTGTGTATGTATGTTTACATGCATATCATGGCAACTTACTTCCTGACTACTTCAACATATATTTCCCAAGCATAGGGATTTTTTAAAAATTGTACAGTATGAACCTCACTAAATTTAACATTGATGCAATAATCTACCGTTTGTATTCCAATTTTTTTTTCAATTGGCCCAGTCACCTTTACAGTATTTCCCCTTCCACAGATTGCTTTTTAAAGAGCAAAGAATGAATCATGAGCAATTTTTAGTAGAAACTTTCTATTAAGGGTAGAAAGACAATCATTGAGACTTAAAGTTGGATTCCTGTTTTGATTCACATCCATGCCTCCCCTAAACTTTCTTGTCTCAGAAAATGACAGCACAATCCCATTAGTTGTTGAAGCCAGAAATCTGAAGCTTATTTGAGTTCTCTTTTAACTTTATTCTTTGCGTTTAACCCATCACTGAGTCCTGTAGTGTCTGTCTCCCCTATATATCTTGAAACCTTTCTGTTGGCTGGGTTGAAGTCGTTCATGACTGTAATTCCAGCACTTGGGGAGGCAGGAGGATCACTTGAGCTCAGGAGTTCAAGACCAGGCTGGGCAACACAGAGAGACCCCCTGTCTACAAAAATTAAAAAGTTAGCCAGGTGTAGTGGCATGTACCTGTGGTCCTAGCTCCTAGGGAGGCTGAGCTGAGAGGATTGTTTGAGCCCAGGAGGTTGAGGCTGCAGTGAACTGTGATCACCCCACTGTACTCCAGCCTGGACGACAGAGAGAGACCTTGTTTCAACAAAAAGAAAGAAACTTGATATACCTTTTTATCCATCGACTTCAACCAGCCTAGTCCATCTTGTTTCTCATCTGGACACCTACCTAGTTTCCTACCTGATTTTCCTGCTTCTGCATTTTTTTTTTCCTATTCATTCTCCATATAACAGCCAGAATGATCTTTTAGAAATGTAAATCAGATTGTGTCACTCCCCAGCTTATATATTAAGTGGCTTTCCACTGCTCCAGAGCACTGTCTGCATAGCTTAACTCTTCTTTAGTCCACAACTTTAAATATTCTCCTATCAAGGAGAGGCCTCTCTTGATGCTCAGTTTGTTATTTTTACTATAGCATTTTATCATTTTCCTTTACAGCACTTGTGATTTGTAATTATTATTTTTTCTTTTTCTCTATTTCCTACACTAGGCTATAAGTGGAAAAAGCATAGGGACCCTGTTTGTTTTGTGCACTTTTGTATACCTAGCGCATCGCTAGGATTATAGCAGGTGATTAATAAATATTTGAATATTTGAGTGAAAGGAGACCTAAGAAGTTATCTAATGTTGTCTCCTACCTGTTGTAAGAGTCTGCACTATCTCTGGCAAGTGCTTATCTAGCTTATTTTTTTTAATGCTTTCCCATATGAACAGCTTAGTGTTTTTTATGTAGTTTACTTTGTTGAATAATTTTGATAGTTTGAAAAGTTTTCCGTATTTTGGGCTGAAAACTGCCCTTTTCTTATTTCTGTTCATTGATCTAGTTCTGCCTGTTTGTCACGACTTAAACTATTTTGACTCTCTATATAGTATCTTAAACTATTTGACAGCAGCAGTTATGTATGCTCTTGGCTTTGTTAGGCTGAACCATTTATAAGTGCATCAGTTTTTCATCATATGATACGTTTCTTTACTCTTACCTCCTCTGTATTCATTTTGCCAGGGTAGCTTTAAAAGTGTACATTGAAGGATAAAGATATTTATAATCTTTGGTCCAGTCATCTGTGGTTAAATGATTTATAGCACATTAATTCAATGTAATATATTATAGCCCTTAAAATAACAAATATAACTGTAGAACTGTGGGATATATTTATAAAACAATAATATTTTAAAAGCAATACATTAAAGTGTATCTAGAGAGTTAATATAACTGACTGTGTGTGTAGATGAAATTTAGAAGGGTACATGAGTACCTCCTAAAGATACATACCCAATACATATATCTGCCCTGTCAGTACAGTAGCCAGTAGCCAAATGTAGAAGGATATGTGATAGAATAGTTGTATAGTTGTGCGTGGGTGGTAGAATTATAGGGAGAATTTTTTTTTTTCTTTGAGACAGAGTCTAACTCTGTCTCCCTGGCTGGAGTACAGTGGTGTGATCTCAGATCACTGCTTCCCAGGTTCAAGCGATTCTTGTGCCTCAGTGTCCTGAGTAGCTGGGATTACAGGCATCTGCAACCATGCCTGGCTAATGTTTGTATTTTTGGTAGAGATGGGGTTTCACCCTATTGACCAGGCTGTTCTCGAACTCCTGGCCTCAAGTGAACCACTCGCCTGGGCCTCCCAAAGTCCCAAAGTGCTGGGATTACAGGTGTGAGCCACTGTGCCTGGCTCTTTTTTTGACACTGGGTCTTAGTATATTACCCAGCCTGGACTCGAACTCCTGGGCTTAAGTGATCCCCCTACTGCAGCCTCCCAAGTAGCTTGAACTATAGGCATGAGTCACCATGCCTGGCCCAGAAATTTTAAAATATAGAGTATTTTATAATTAATTTAATAAGAAAGGAGAAAATCTAATGCTTGGAAATGTCATTGCAACTAATTGACGAATGCTTGTTCCACATTTGGCTAGTGGCTACTGTATTGACAGGGCAGGTGTATGTATTGGGTAAGGACAGTTAGTGAACATTTCTTATGGCACCATGTTCTATGGATAGTGCTGGAATAAGAGATTGTGTGGGATGGATCACTCATGAGAGCAAGATAGGCAAAATGGTGACTTTTGTGCATCCAATCTTTTTGAGGCCTAATGTTGAAGGTAGAGGAGCCAAGGTGAGGTGTGGAAACAGGGCCACAAGACATAGTTCATTGCACTTGCCATTAGCTGGCAGTATCTCCTCAGGCCTGCTAGTTATTGGAGAAGCACTCTAGGAGTAGGAATAATGAGGATAGCAGTCCTCTAGGTGAGTGGGAGCTAGTGTGCAAGGTTTCTGTGTATGTTAAAAGTTCATTGGTAGGGTCTTTATTTTTCAAAGAGTGCCTATACAGAAAAAAATTTCTTAGACATTTACATAAAAATATTTTTGCCCATATGTATTTTTACTCTTGTAATGTTCAAGGGAATTTAAAGAGGCATGTTTGAAAAAGACCTTTTTGTGGAACAGCGATTAGTCTTTAATAGTCGATTGTCAAATACTTCTGTTTTGCCTTAAAGAAGTTAACCAAGTGATTCTATAGAGTGGTGTCTCTGTAACAGGGCAGCGGAGCTGTCTTGGGCTGGTTCAGTCCAACAAACTCTTAGCTACCTTGCTTGTCAAAGCTTCCCTGATGCTTTATGAAGTGCTCTAGTGCCAGTTCCTAACCTGGAATCTCAGGGGCTCTTTGCTCACTTCTTGTGGGAAAGACTCCCACATTTCATAGTGTAGTGTAGTGTTCATCAAGCTTTTTTTGACTGTGACGCAATAGAAATGTATTTTACGTGGTACACATATATCCAGAGATATAACTGAAATTGAGTATCAAAAACAGTCTCACTATGTATGATGTTTTCTGATATTGTCTATTGTATTTTTATTGTTGGGGCAAGGATAAATTACCCATTATTAAGAGAGAAAAGACAGCTTTACGATATGACAAATTAATTTTAAGAAAGCAACTGAACATTAAGAAGCCACAGAAGCTGTTTCCATCTTAGGTTCTGTGTTGGCTTTCCTTATATGAGATCCTTATTAAAACAAAAATATGTATATAAAATAATTTTACTGTATTTCTCTTAGTCTATTAGGGCTGCTCTAACAAAATACCTTAGATTGGGCAACTTACAAACAACAGAAATTCTTTGCTTACATTTCTGGAGGCTGGGAAGTCCAAGGTATTAGCAGATTTGATGTCTGCTGAGGGCCTTCTTCCTTGGACATTATACCTTATATTAATAGCTGTGTTGTCACATGGTGGAAAGGGAAAATAAGCCTTTTATAAGGGCACTGATCCCATTTATGAGGGCTGGCTTCAGAAAGCTGAGTCAGTGTAATACTGTTTACTATTTTATAGTCTAATCTTTCACTGGCTGGCTTGTTTACAGAATTTGTATTTGTTTCTTAACTTCCTTTTAATTATCAAGCTGACTGGCTTTCAGTTCACTATCTCTCCCTTTACTTAAGATTTCTTTCTCCGCTTGCTTTTCAAAACTTCTCCCTGCACCACCCCGGTGTACTTCCATTGGTTTTACGTCATTGCCTTGTTTAGAACATTGTTTTTCACTTTTCTCTGTAGATTTCTCAGCCACCTTTAGTTTCTTGAGGTGGTGAGAAGTATTTTCTTTGCTTAATGTTTAAGAGTCTTTTAATTCTTTGTTTGTGGTAGTTGTGTGATTTTCTTTCAGTGCTACATTTTCTTGGCATTAGCTATGTTTGTGCAAAAAGTTATTTTGAGATACAGTTCCTGTCCATCTTATAGTTCATTGTTAAAAATAATTTTTTTTAACTGTGATATTCTTGATAAAACTGCAATTTGT